GGAGGAGGAGGGGGGGCCGCTCGTTCCCGTCTGGGTCTCCCTCGCTCGCTCGTCGCCGTCCCCCTCCGCACCCCCCCGTCTCCCTCCGCAGTCGGGCCGGGCCTCCCCCTGCGCACGCGCCAAGGAGTCTCGGGGGGGGGGGGTCAGGTCGTCCAGCTGCTCGGACGGGGGGGGGGAGGAGGGAAGGAGGGAGAGCGGCCCAGGGACGGGGGCCCTGGGCCGAGGAGGAGACGCGGGAGAGGGCAGGAGCAGGAGAGAGGAGGAGGAGGAATAGAATAGGGAGAGAGAGAGAGAGAGGGAGAAGCAGATGGGGGGCGCAGGACAGCAGACGGGCAGTTCAGGGGTTGGCCTGGGTGGACTTGAGGTTCGAACCCGTGCATGATCCAGGGGAATGCTGATCACCCCCTCGGAACCCCAAGCCAAGGCTGATTTATGAGTGTGTGGTGCTGATGGGGGGCGACTTGTGTGGCCGCTCAAACCCCCTCTGGGTCGTGCTGCTGCTGTGTGAATCCGATCAAACCCACTCAAGCCCTCGAAGTATGTGGTATTGCTTGGTGGCCTGGCCTCTTTTCTGGAGGAGGGGAGGGGGGGGGGAGGGCGAACACGAAAAGGAAGAATGACGGATCTTGGTCGGCAATACCCTCCCCCGGGCCTGAGCAGCACCACGTCCAGCAGGGCCTTCAGGATGGCGACCACGAAGAAGATGCCCAGGGCGTTCCTCCCTCCAGCCCCATTCAGAAGCTTTCAGCGCGCCCCAAGGAGTGAAAATAAAGGAGGAGGAGGAAGAAGAAGAAGAGGAGGAGAAGTAAGAGGAGGATTTCTAGGATTTCCGCCATCATGTAGTGATAAAGATGCTTGCAAATCTCAGGTTTTGGAAAAAAGGTCGCGAGAGATAAGATTGCGAGACCCGCGCACGCTCTCTTTCGATCCATCCACGCAAACGTTGCCCTGGATCAGCCAGCTAAGCCCAGGCAAATGCGAGTGCATCTGGATGATTACAATCTGCGCCTCCGATCGAGATCGTGGAACAAGTAGGGCGCATATAGCCCTCCAAACGTCAGCTTATGGCCCTGCTGGGCCTTGAAACAACTTAGCGCGCCACCCTCGCGCCACCTCGGCGCAGTCGGTGACAGAAATGAGCCAACCTGCCGAATGCCTGATCGCCCACTTTCGGGCCGGGCGCGCACTTCCCCTCTAGGCACCGCCTGGGCAGCGCATGCCAGGGGCCCCGACCGGTGTGGACCCAACACGCACGGAGAAAAGGAAACGAAAGCTGCAACTCCTACGCCCACGCAGCGCTGCCTAGGGTCGCGGGTGTTCTTACCTCCAGACGCGTCCCCGAAGACAGCTCCTGCCCGGCCCACCAAAGCCAAAACCACCACAATAAGCGTCGTCGCCGTCGCCGTCGCCGCACGCCGTCACCGTCGCCGCTGTCGCCATCGTCGTCGTCGTCGTCGTCGTCTCCATCGCCGCCATCAGTCAAATTGCTGCAAACGTTTGAGGCAACCGTGCGCGGCGCTGAGGCGAGAGCCACATTTTGAGATCACCCGCCCTCTATCAGTGAAACCGCTGCAAATTTCTAAGACGAATGTGCGCGGCGCTATGGCGAGAGCCACATGTTGAAAACGGCCCACTTTCCATCCGCGAAGCTGCTGCAAACGTTTAAGAAACATATGCGCGGCGCTGAAGCGAGAACAACACTTTGAAAACGACCCGCCCTCCATTCGTCAAACTGTTACGAATCTCAAGCTTCAGGGCCATCAGCGATAAGGAAGTCTGAGGCGGAACGCCCGGCCCGCCCTGCCAACACAACTGGGCGTGCAACAGGGAGGAATGACTTGTCAGGAGAAGGGATGGAGGCGCTAGGAGGCGCGAGGAGGAGGAGGGGGCAGGCGCGAGGAGGAGGGACCCCTCCGCTCCCGATCGGCGCGCCGGGGCCGCAGAAAAAGTCGATCACGTCGGCGGTCACCACCGTGCGCTGCAGCGCCGCGCCCTGCAGCGAAGAGGCCTGACGCCGCGGGCCGAGGGCCGAGGGGAGGGGAACGGAGGAGGGAGGGAGGGAGGGCGAGGGGGAGGAGGAGGGGGGAGGAGAGAAGAAGAAGGCGAGGGGGAGGAGGAGGAGTAGGAGGAGGTATGAGTGAGGATGTCGAGCATGCCCAACGGGGTACGAGTGAGGCAAAGCGGGAGGCATCGAAATAGCAGCAGCAGCAGGGAGGAGGAGGAGGAGGAGGAGAAGGAGGAGGAGGAGAAGGAGGTACGACCCAGGAGGCGGGCCAGGTGGAGGAGGAAGGAGGGGGAGTAGAACAAGGAGGAGGTACCAGTGAGGATGGAGCGGTGGAGGAAGTGGAGGGGGAACGGGCCCCACGCCCCCCCGCCGCGGCGAAGGCGGATGACGAGGCAAGGAAAGGACGGCGCCCCGAGAGGACGCGGCCGGCCTCGGGCCGCGGGACGCACACGGGGGATGCCGACGCGCACCACGAGCAGCGCGGAGGAGGCCGTGGGGGCGGGAAAGGGGGGAGTAACCACGTTGGCTCCAGGAGTGCCTCTGCGGCGCCGTCTCGCGCTTCAGCGCGAGGCGTCGTGCCCACGCCACGGGGTGCTCGGACCATCGACGGCGCCAGCCCCGGGGTGGCACCGCAGGCATACAGTCGGGGCCCTGAAGAAGGAACCCTTTTCGTTGGGGAGGGGCTCGGTGTTCCTTGATTGTTTCAAAGTTTGCCTCGGGTTTTCCTGAGGTTTTCCATGGGAAATCGAGGTTGAACCTATGGGAAAAAGGGGCCTCGTTCCTTATTTAGGGTTCCTTAGGTCAACGCCCCGACTGTAAGAGACAGCCCACATCGGGAAGGCGTCGCCCCGACACCGCTCTGCCACCTCCTGCGCGGCCCCGGCGGCGCCTCCCTCCGCGGCGGAGCTCGGGCGAGGGAGGCCCCCGGAGCTTCCCCCCCCCGGCCGCCCCCCGCAAGGACACGCGCTGAGCCGCGGGGCGCGCCCGCCTCCGAGCGCCTTGTTGTTATACGCAGCATCCATGGGGCCCCTCCAACGCGACCCGGGAGCTGAGAGCGATTCCTACACTCCCAGCGACCACCGCTCGTCAAATGTTGCTATACGCAGCATCAGTGGGGCCCCTCCATCGCGACCCGGGAGCTGAGAGATTCCTACATTCCCAGCGACGACCACCGCTCGTCAGATGCACACTCCAGCACCAGTCCGCGCCCGCCGCCAGGCGCGGCGCAGCACGCAGGACAGCGGCGCCGCGCCCCCGTCCTCTTCGAGGTCACCACGAGGAGCGCACGCGCACCGCTGCGCACTCGGCGCAGCCTCGAGAAATCCGTGGGCTCATCCGCCGCGGGGCCCCGCGGGGCCGCCTGCGACAGCCCAGCGCTCCGTGCCCGCTCCACCGATGCACCAGTCCGGATGGCGCTGCAGCTGCCTGAGAGCGCCACCTCGCGCCGATCCTGTACGCACGCGCCGCGCGCACGATGCCTCTCGGCCGCCCCCCTGGTGTCTCTGGCACTACGACCTCCTCCTCCTCCTCCTCCTCCTCCTCCTCCTCCTCCTCCTCTCATCATCATCATCATCATCATCATCATCATCATCATCATCATCATCATCATCATCATCATCATCATCATCATCATCATCATCATCCTGCTCCTCCTCCTCCTCCTCCCCTTCTTATGGTTCGTCCTATTCTTCTTAGTATATTAATTATCATTTACCCGTTTAATCTTCTAAGCGGCATTACTCGTACGATTATTACTAGTATTAGTAATCGTATCAGCACGCTTATCAGTATACCTCGTATTCTTCGTAGTTTAAGCAGTTGTCGTATTGTTCCGATTAGTTGTCTTATGATTACTATTGATTTTCTTATTTGTGCTGAAATATGTATAGTCTCATTAGTATGCGTATTAGAATTTCTTCTTAGCCTGCTGAATAATACTCATGTGGTTCGCATTACTCTTCTTTTTAATACTATAAGTAGTACTAGTGTCCCGCTTCCTCTTATTCGTATAGTAGTCCTCTTCTTAGGCTTAGTAGTATTGAAGAGATTCGTAGTATCATTATCCCATTGCGTCTTATTATTAGGCGTCTTAATATTCTTATTATTAATACTGGTAGTATGGTTGTTCTTGTCATTAGTAGTACTATTACTAGTATTACGCTACTTGATAGTCGTATTACTATTATTAATACTACTATAATTACTATTATTACGATTATGACTATTATTATTATTATTCATATTTTTCCTCATCCTCTTCCTCCTCCTCCGTCCTCCTCCTCCTCCTCCTCCTCCTCCTCCTCCTCCTCCTCCTCCTCCTTCTCCTCCTCCTCCTCCTCCTCATCATCATCATCCGCCCTCCGCCTCCTGCTCCTCTTTCACCTCTTCCTCCTCCTCCTCCTCCTCCTCCTCCTCCTCCTCCTCCTCATCATCATCATCATCATCATCATCACCATAATCATCATAATCATCATCATCATCATCATCATGTGATCATCTCTATCATCATCATCATCATCATCATCATCATCCGCCCTCCTCCTCCGCCTCCGCCCTCCTCCTCCTCTGCCTCCTCCTCCGCCCTGCTCCTTCACCTCGTCCTCCTGCTCAGCATCATCGTCGTCATCATCATCATCATCATCATCATGATTAGCAGCAGCATCAGTATCATCATCCTCATCACCATCGTCATCATCATCACCATCAGAAGCAGCATCAGCATCAGCATCATCATCTGCATCATCATCAGCATCATCATCATTATCAGCATCATCATCATCACCATCATCATCACTCATCATCATCGTCCTGATCCTCATCCTGCACCTCATCATCATCATCATCATCATCATCATCATCATCATCATCATCATCATCATCATCATCATCATCATCATCATCATCATCATCATCATCCTCATCCTCATCCTCATCCTCATCCTCATCCTCCTCCTCATCCTCATCCTCGTCCTCATCCTCATCCTCATCAGCAAACGCCCTCATCATCCTCTCATGCATCAGCAGCATCAGCATCAGCATCATCAGCAGCAGCAGCAGCATCATCATCCTCATCAGAATCATCATCACATCAGCATCAGCATCATCATCATCATCATCATCATCATCATCATCATCATCATCATCATCATCATCATCATCATCATCATCATCATCATCATCATCCTCATCCTCAGCCTCAGCCTCATCATCATCATCATCATCATCATCATCATCATCATCATCATCATCATCATAATCCTCAGCCTCATCCTCATCCTCATCCTCATCCTCATCTTCATTCTCCTCCTCCTCCTCCTCCTGGCAAGCAACGGGGGGCAAGTATGACTCCATCGCTCCAGCGGCGACCTTTGCCGCGAGGGCTCGAGCGGAAATGTGCCTGTACGGAGACCCGGCGTCTCCCGACCCTCTGGTCCAGCAGTCCGACCGGCGCGGTCCAACGCGGCGCGGTCGCCAATCGCCCCCACCTCGACCCTCGACTTCTTCTCGGACGGCACCTGGCATCGCGACGGCCGGGTGTTCACTCGTGGCGCGTTCGCCTGCAGGTCGCTCTGCGGCCAAGGTCGAGGGGACGCCGGCGCTGCTGCGAGCCGATTTCCCTGGCGACTGCGCGCTCGAAGGCAATGTCGGCACAGAAGGGGGCGGGAGGAGGAGAAGGAAGATAGGGGGCGGGGGCGGACCTCTCCGTGGGCTCATGCTGACCAGGATTCTGAAGCGCATCCGGCCGTGGCGACGAGGGCCCACGCGGAGGTTCTGCTGGTCCCCCCCACACGAGCCCAAAAAATGTTGCTCGAGTCGCCAGCCCCCGGAGCTCGCGAACACCCGCCAGGGCCAGGGTCTTACCCTCGGTCATTCATTTATGTGGACGCCCGTAATGGGCACGGAAGAAATGGGCACAATGCCCAACAGCAGATGTTGTCCCGAACCAAGAGCGGCCGCTGTTGCGCAGGCGGCCTTCTGTCTCGAATGGACACAGGCCGCGGCGGCGCGGACAGCGAGCCCTGCTCAAAAGGAGCAGGAACTGCTGTTGGGCATCGTACCCATTCTTTCCGTACCCATTTCGGGCGTCCAGAATTTAAGGTCCTGGGCCTGGACACGGCTTCCTCTGACACCACTTCGTCGACCCGCTGGAGGTCGGCCGGCGAGCCTTGATGGCCAGCACGCCAGGGTTCTTGCGCACCACCTGGCGCCGGGAGGCCCAGGAGCACTGGGACGTCAAAAGGAGGAGGAGGAGGAGGAGGAGGAGGAGGAGGAGGACAGGGGAGGAGGAGAAGGTGGAGGAGGAAGTGGAGAGGGAAGGAAAGGGGAGGGATAACACCAGGTGAAGATGGTGAGGACAAAACCTTCCCTCTCAGTGTTGCTCCTGAAATAAGCAGCTTGAGGGGGCCACGAACCTGATAGGGAGCTTGAGTCGACTACTGATGAAGCACGTGGTCAATACGCGGGCTGTGCCATGGCATGATATCATGTTATGTGTAACGGAGTGTAGGCCTTCCCTTGCCAGTGATGCCCCATGCCATGTTGTGACATACTGTCGTATGGTATCGTGTTCCATGCTTACACGTTAGACGCCTCTCCAACTCATCCCTGGCCTCCTTCCCCACTTTCCCACTTCCTCCTCCTCATCCTCCTCCTCATCCTCCTCCTCCGCCTCCTCGTCCTCCACCTCCTCCTCCTCCTCCTCCTCCTCCACCTCCTCCTCCTCCTCCTTCTCCTCCTTCCTCCTCCTTCTCCTCCTATCCTCCTCCACCTCCTCCTCCTCCTCCTCCTCCTCCTCCTCCTCCTCCTCCTCCTCCTCCTCCTCTTCCTCCTCCACATCACTCCATTTCCGCATTATTCCTTTCCCCTCCTCATATGATCCCCCTCTCCTGCTGTACACGTCCTCCTCTTCCTCCCTTCTCCTCCCTCGCACGTAGCTCGGAATGAGTTCGTATGACGTTAAGTCACATTATATGTCTGCTGAACAAGCTGCGCTCTGGCAGCCCTCGCATTCTGAAAAAAACAGCTACATCCATCACACTCCAGCATAGAGGCACTAATCACAAGCCCCTGACACGCGAGAAGACGGCTCTCTGGAAACATCCGCACGAGCAAATCCCAGCCTTCGGTCAAGAACGACCTCGATCGGAGAGGACGGGATCCAAACAGCTTGCATCGCCCCCCACACGTGGGGGGCAAGACGTGTAGTGTTTTTGAAAATCGGTTTCGCCTGAGCACCCGAACTTGCAAGCCTGATCCACCAGGGAAGCCCGCCGCTCCATCGTCCACCCCCCGCCCAAAGCTTTCGGGATCGAAGCTTGCCACGCGGAAGGCAGGGCCAACACGCACCCCTTCAGTGTCGGCCAACTGCATCCCGCTCTTGCGTGCACAGAAAAGGCCGCCCACTTCTCCGGACCTTTGAAAACCGTGGCCTCTAAATTCGTTTTGATCATGTGGGTTTCGAGGGTGCGCGCGAGATCGTCCTTTGCACTGGCGCGCCGCGGGGTCCTCAGCCAGCGCGTCACCGAGAGCAGCTCGAGTCTTCTTAACAAGGTCTCTGAGGCGCGGGCAATCCACGAATCCCCTGGACGCGATGGCTAGCTCCTGAACGAAGGCAGGCTCCTCCCCCAAACCCTGAGACCCTAACACTCTAAAACAATAACCCCCCTGTGCGTTCTGGCCCCAACGCCGCAAGTCCCGAATGCTGTGGAATCCCTAGCTACGAAGATCGCAACACCCTAAGAAAATAAGGCCTTCATGCGCGCATTCCCCAAAACCTTAAGACGTTAATACCCGACTGGCCGCGTACCATAAACCACAAGATCAGACACATGCGCAATAATACAAGTATAACCAGCACCCCCACCCGAGAAACACATTGAGGCGTGGGCTTGCGTACATCCTGCATAACGACCAAAAGAACGGCCTCAATATAAGTACAAGCACAACAGAATGCCCGTTGCACATCCACGGTCCGCTGCACACGGGGCCCGGAAAAAAACCCGTCAAGGACCCTCTGGGATCCCTGAAGCCCCTGCAAGCCCCCAAAGGAGCCCCGTAAGGGCCCACGAAGGGCCTTGAAGGACGCGCAAGACGTCACTGGATCCCGAGCAATGGGGCGCGTGGCCGAGGGATCCAGGGCCATGGAGTCTGAGGCCCAAGAAAGATCGCCCCTGCAATCTGAGATTGCAAGCCGTTGGCCGTGGAGTCCGAAGCCCAAACATCTGAAATCCCTGGAGCCGCGGGCCCAGGAGCCCTGAGCCTGAAGTCCTGGCCCAAATAATGTTGGGCCCTTGAGCCCAAGCCGAAAATGTAAGGGCCTAACGGTTCAGGGTCGACGAATTCTGGGGCCTGGAGTCCACGGGCAAGAAATCGTGCGCCCTGGAATCTGGCCCCTGCAATCTCACACCCTGGGGCGTAGGACGTCGAAGAACAAAAAAAAAAAAAAAGTGCGCCTGGCGCGGACAGGACGAGATCTGGCGAGAGCCTCGCGCAGTTCAAAACATCGCCAGGTTTGGGGCAGGAGCCGCGAGCTCCGCTGGCGCTGCGTTTTCGATATTCTGCGCAGAGCAACAGTTGACTAGGCATGTGTTGGGCAGGTTTGGATGTGCTGGGTAAGTTTACATATGTGTTTGGTCGTGTTCGATATGTTTGTGGCCCGTTCAGCTATGTGCGGTCGGCGGCGGTATGTTTTGGTCCCCTTAGATATGTTCGGGGTCTGTTAGAACATGTGCGCGGTCGGTTTAGATGCGCGTTGGGCTACCTAATAGATGTTTATGGTCGGCTTAGGTATGGTTTGAATCGACTCAGTTATGTTTTGTTCGGCTTAAATATACTTGGGTCGGTTGGAATATGGTTTGGTCGGGCACATGCGTTTCGCCAGTGGAAATATGTTGTTGCTGAGCGCGGAGATATCGCTGGTAGATTTGAATATGGTTTGCGGCTGTCTATTTGTGTTGGTATGTTTAGATATGTTGGGTCTGTTTGACTATGTGTGGGTAGGTTAAGACTCTTGTCTGGTACATGTTGACATGTTTTTGCCGTTTAGACAGATTCCTGGTCGGTTGAGATACGTGTTTGGTAGGTTTAGATATGTCCCAGGTCGTTTGAAAGATGTTTCTTGTTGGCTTAGATATAGTTTGGTCTGTCTAGCATTGATATAAGTTGATCGGCTACTCTGTGTTGATGGCTGGCACAACGATGCGTTGGTCGATTCAAATATGTCTTTGGTCGGTGTAGATATGTGTCCGGCTGGCTTAAGCATGTTTTGGTAGGTTTGAAAATGTTTTTCGTTGGTTTCGATGTCTTGGTTGGTTTGGATATGCGTTTGGTCGGTGCACATATTTTCGCTGTTGGCTTAAATATATGGTGCGTCGGTTTAGGTTGATGTTTGGGTCGGCGTGGATGTGCGCGGAGACAATTCAGATGGTTTGTCGGTTGGTTTTCGATATGTCTGCTGGTCTGTTTAAATGCGGTGTAGGGCAATTTAGATGTGCATATGGTCGGCGCGGGCACGGGTTGGGTCCGCTTCGACGCGCTGCAGGTCTGCTCGCGCGCGTTCGGGGTCAGTCTGGGCACTGTTGCCCGGTTTAGATATGTTGATGGTGGGTTTAAGAGACATGCTGGTCGTTTTCGATGCGGGTTGTGGTCGGCGTGGATGTTCGCTGGCCTATACATGTCGTTGTTGGTCCAGATATGTACTGGGTCGGCTTGGATGCGCGCGCGGCGGGCAACGCCCCGCGAGTGCATTGCGGGTGGCGTTCGGCGCGCGCGCGCATTTCCCGGCGGCGTCGCCCCCCCCATCGGGCCCGCTCGCGGCTCGCTTGCGCCGCTTGGCCACGGGCGCGGGCGCCGCCGCCGCAATCCCATTGCTGGTGCCCCAGAACCGAGGCGCGGCGACAAACGCACCGACCAGAAAAAAACGATGATATACTTCTTGGAGGGGGCCGCGCGACCGAGCCGCGCGAACGGGCGAAGCGATTCTTTTCGGCTGCAGACCAGAATTGGGGGCGCTGACCCCTTGCAAGTACCTCGCCCCAGCCAGCGTCATTACATGCATTCCCTTGCACGGGGCGTCTAGAGCTCCGACCGCCATATTTCGGCACAGGACCCCCTCCATCACCTACCCATACCCATTCCACCAGCCAGCGCGCCCCCATCTGCCCCGCCCTATCCCCCCGCCAACCAGCCAGCGCGCCCCCTCCGCCCCGACCCTTGAATTTCGGCGCGCCCCCCCCCCCCCCCCCACGCGCCGACCAGCGCGCCCCGCGCGGCACCCCGCCCCCCCGCGCCGCGCGCCCCCGAGCCCCCCCCGCCCGCCAGCCAGCGCGCCCGCTCAGCCCGGACCCTTTAACGTCGGCACGGCGCCCCCCCCGCCCCGCGCGCCCGCCCCCCGCGCCCCCTCCGCCCACCGGCCAGCGCGCTCTCTCCGCCCCGACTTCTTTATTTCTGCACGGCGCCCGCCCCGCCCGCGCGCCCACCCCCCGCCGCGCCCCCCGCCGGGGGGCGCGGGGGGGGCGCGGGGGGGGGCGGAGGGCGCACGCTGGCTGGCACAGAAGAGCCCCATGTATCCTCGAATAAGAGCTCCTCGGCGGTCTGGGGAGTCCAAGCGTCTTCATTCGAAGGAGGCCCCCTCGGCATCGCAAATTGATGGTGTGCGAAGGGTGCAGATCGCAGGAGCGAAGAATGGTCGAGCAACGACTGAGGTAATTACGGCAAGATGCCCGCTCCCAGCCGGTCGGCCACACGGCTTCTAGGGGTGACCCTGCTCTCCCTGAGCCAACACAGGTCCACGGAGAGAATCTCACTCGCGACCCCCTCAACGGCCAATCCCCCAGGAAACCCAGGACGAACAAAAACGCGATAAACACTTACAGTCGTGGCGTTGACCTAAGGAACCCTAAAGAAGGAACAAGGCCCCTTTTTTCCACAAGTTAAACTTCGATTTCCCATCGAAAACACAAGAAAAACCTGAGGCAAGCTGTGAAACAATCAAGGAACACCGAGCCCCTCCCCAACGAAAAGGGTTCCTTCTTCAGCGCCTCCACTGTAACATCTCATTTTCGGCTCCTCGAGAAGGGAGACGGGCCGCCTCGGCGGCCCGGTCCGCGCCCAGGCCCGCCGCCAGCGCCGCGCTGGCCGCGCGCGTTGTCCTCTCGGGGATGCACAGGATGCCGACCTGGCTGCAGGCGGGGCGCCGCAGCAGCTCGGGCCGTCGGCGCGGGGGCGCTCCTCCCGCTGGCGCCTCCTCCTCCTCCTCCTCCTCCTCCTCCTCCTCCTCCTCCTCCTCCTCCTCCTCCTTCCTCCTCCTCCTCCTCCTCCTCCTCCTCCTCCTCCTCCGCGGCCGCCCTCTTCTCTCTGGCGCCCGCACCCGCCACGCCCTGCCGTTAGCGACCCCCGCGCCCGCGTCCGCTGGCGCGGCCGGTTCGAAAAGTGGGGTAGGCAGCGGGATTGGCGCGGCGGGTAGGCAGCGCGACTGGCGCGTCCCGCGTCGGGGGTGGTCTCTTTGTCTCTCTCTTTCCCTCTGTCTCTCTCTCTCTCTCTCTCTCTCTTCGTCTATCCTTCTCTCTCTCTCTCTCTCTCTTTCTACACACACACATATATATATATATGAAAATATAGATATGACAGCAACGAGGAAGCACGGAGGAAGGGGGAGGGACGAGGGGAGAGGGAGGGAGGAAGCACAGGGAAGCAGGGGCACGGACGGGGGGAAACAACGAGCACGAGGAGTCCTAGGTCCGAGGTGGGGGCTGGCTCAGCTCATCGGACCTCGAGGGGGGCATCGCCGCCGCGGAGCGAACGAGATCAGGAACCTCACAGACGTGGCGGTGGCGCCCTTGGGGGCTGGCGGGGCGCGCTCTCAGCACCAGAGATGCCAACTCGCGGCGCGCGAGAGCTGTCCGCACCTTTTCTGGACCGACGGCGTCGCCGTCGTCGTCGTCGTCGCCGTCGTCATCGTCGTCGCCGCCGTCGTCGCCGCCCCCGCGCCGCCACCGCCGACGTCGTCGTCGTCGTCGCCGTCATCGCAGTCGCCGTGGCCGTCGCTGTCGTCGCCGTCACCGTCGCCGTCGTTGCCTTCGTTGTCGTCGTGGTCGTCGCCGTCGCCGTCGCCGTCACCGTCGTCATCGCCGTCGCCGTGGCCATCGCAGTCGCCGTCGCCGTCGCCGTCGCCGTCGCTGTCGCCGTCGTCGCTGCAGCCGTGGCCATCGCAGCCGCCGTCAACGTCGCCGTCGCTGTCGACGTCGTCGCCGCCGCCGTCGTCGCCGTCAACGTCGCCGTCATCGTCGTCGCCGTCGTCACCGTCGTCGCCGTCGTCGCCGTCGCAGTCGCCGTCGCAGTCGTTGCCATCGTCGTCGCCGTCGAAGTCATCGCCAGTGTCGTCGTCGTCGTTGTCGTCGCCGTCGCCGTCGCCGTCGCCATCGCTGTCGCCGTCGCCGTCGCCGTCGTCGCCGTCGTCGCAGTTGCCGACGTCATCGTCGTTGTCACCGTCGCTGTCACCGTCGTCACCATCGCCATCGCCGTCGCTGTCGCCGTCGTCGCCGTCGCCGTCGTCGTCGTCGCCGTCATCGTCGTCGTCACCGTCGTCGTCGCCGCCGTCGTCGTCTCCGTCGCCGCAGTCGTCGTTGCCGTCGTCGTCGCCGTCGTCGCCGTCGCCGTCGCCGTCGCCGTCGTCCTCGTCGTCGTGGTCGCCGTCTCCGTCGCCGTCCCCGTCGCCGTCGAAGTCGTCGTCGTCGTCGTCGTCGCCGCCGTTGTCGTTGTCGTCGCCGTCGTCGTCGTCGCCGTCGTCGTCGACGTCGTCGTCCCTGTCGTCGCCGTCGCCGTCGTCGTCGTCGACGTCGCCGTCGCCGTCGCCGTCGCCGTCGCCGTCGTCGTAGTCGCCTCCATCGCCATCGCCGTCGTCGTCGTCGTCGTCGTCGCCGTCGCCGTCGCCGTCTCCGTCGCCGCCATCGACGTCGTCGTCGCCGTCGTCGTCGCCGCCGCCGTCAACGCCGTCGTCGTCGGAGGGCGCAGCGACGGGGGACGTTGCGCCGCATGGCCGCAAGGCCGCCCTCGTCGCCGCCCGCGGCGTCCCGGAGAACGCGCCAGCGGCGGATCACGCCGGCCTGGGCCCCGTGGTCCAGCCTCCTCGTCCCTCGCCCTCCTCGCTCCTCCACCTCCTCGCCCCTCTTCTGGGGCTTTCGGGGCGCTCCCTGTCGCCGCGCGTGGAGGCAGCTCGGAGAAGTGGCCACGACGGAACCCAAGAGGGCTCCGGGGATTGGCTTCGAGCGAGGGTTGGATGTTCCTCCTCCTCCTCCTGCTCCTCCCCCTCCTCCTCCTCCTCCTCCTCCTCCTCCTCCTCCTTCTACTCCTCCTCCTTCTACTCCTCAGTATCACCATCATAACCATCATCATGATCAGTCTTATGACCATCATCATCAGCATACTACTCGATGTCGTCATCGTTATCACCAGCACCATCCTTGTATTTGCCTCGTCATCCCCCAGCCCCACGTCCCAATTCTCACGCATCCCCATCATCCCTTTTCTCCTCCTCGTCCTGTTCCTCCTCATCATCATCATCATCCTCATCATCCTCCTCCATCTTCCTCCTCATACTCCTCCGCGTCTTCCTGCCCCTCTTCCTCTCCTCCTCCTTCTTCTCCTCCTCCCTCCTCCTGCTCCATGTGTTGCTCCTCCTCCTCTCCCCTCTTCCATCCCATATCCTCATCAACTACTCTTCCCTGTCGCACCCCGAGAAATGTAAGTAGGGCGGACCCGGCGTTTCGCCTGAGACTTCCCCACGAATTTGCAACAGCTTCACGGATGGAGGGCAGTCCCTTTTCAAAATGTCGCTCTCGCCTTAGCATCGCACACATTCGGTAAAGTTTTCAAGATCTTGCAAGAACTTCTCGAATGAGGGGCGGATGGTTTTTCAAAATGTTGCTCTCGCCTTAGCGCCGAGTACATTCGTTTACAGAGTTTGCAGCAGCTTCACGGATGGAGGGCGAGTCGTTTTCATAGTGTTGCTCTCGCCTTAGCGATGACCACACTCGTCTTAAAAGTGTGAATGAGTTTCACCGATGGAAGTCGGGTCGTATTTTTAAAGATTACATGTGGTTCTCGCTACAACGCCACGCACATTATCTGTCAAGGTTAATCGGAGCTTCAGGGATGGAGGGCGGGTGGATTTCAAAATGTGGCTCTCGTCGTAGCACCTCGCAAATTCGTCTCAAAAGTGGATGGAGGGCAAGGTGGCTCTCGCCGTAGCGTAGCACACATTCGTTTACAAAGTGTGCAGCAAATTCGCGGATGGAGGGCGGTTCCTTCGAGAGAGCGCGCCCACAGCGCCGGAGCAAAGGGGAGGGGGTCCCCCCTTAGCTACCCCCCCCCTCCTTTCCACCTCCCCCGCTGGAAGTTCTCCCCCCCTTTTTCTCCTCCCCCCTGAAGCTACCCCCCTGCCCCCTTTCGCCACTTCGAAGCTACCCCCCCCCCCACTTCCCCCCCTTTCCAAAGGGAGGGGGGGCTTAGCTACCCCACCCCCTCCCCTTGACCCCCCCTCTGCCCGAAGCTCTCCCTGTGGTTCCAAAGGGGGGGGGGCTCAGCAGCCCCCCCCCCTCACACCCCCTTTTGGCACCCGGGAAGCTATCCCCCCCCCCATCCCCCCCTTACGAAAAGGGAGCGGGGCTTAGCTACCCCGCCCCTCCTTTGACCCCCCTCTGCCGGAAGCCCCCCCCTCCCTTCCCTCCATTTTTCTCCCCCCTGCCGGAAGCTACCCTCCCTTCCCCCGTTTCCAAAGGGGGAGGGGCGGCTTAGCTACCACCCTCCCTTGAACTCCCCCTGCCGGACGATCCTCCCCCGTCGCGGTCGTCGTTGCCGTCGCCGTCGCTCGACGTATTCGTACGACGCTGTCGTCGTCCTCGTCATCGTCGTCGCCGCCGTGGCCGTCATTGTCGCCGTCTTCGTATGACCTTGTCGCGGTCGTCACGACGAGGGCGAGGTCATACGAAGACGGCGACGGACGACGGACGACGCACGACCGACGACCGACGACGACGACGACTCAGGCTCAGAGAAAACGAGAACACGACCCAGGGGCTGAGAAAACGAGGAAACGAGCCAGGGTCCGAGAAAACAAGGCCACGGCCCAGAAGCCGAGAAAACGAGAAAACGAACCAGGGCCCGAGAAAACGAGACGACGACCCAGGGGCAGAGAAAACGAGAAAACGAGAAAACGAAACGGGGTCCAAGAAAACGAGACCACGACCCAGGGGCCGAGAAAACAAGAAAACAAGAAAACAAATCAGGGTCATATAAAACGAGACCACGACCCAGGAGCCGAGAAAACGAGAAAACTAGACAACGAAACAACGCCCGAGAAAACGAGACCAAAACCCAGGGGCCGAGAAAAATCGAAAACGAGAAAACGAACCGGGGCCCGAGAAACCGAGACCACGACCCAGGGGCCCAGAAAACGGGAAAAAAACCCAGAAGCCGAGAAAGCGAGAAAACGCGACAACGAAGCAGGGTGCGAGAAAACGAGACCACGACCCAGGGGCCGAGAAAACGAGAAAACGAGAGATGTAGGGTCAGAGCAAACAAGACCACAATCCAGGGGCTGAGAAACGGAGAACACGAGAAACCGAACCAGGGTCCCAGAAAATAGGACCACGATCCAGGGGCCGAGAAAACAAAAACCGAACCAGGGTCAGAGAAAACGGGACCACGACCCAGGGGCCGACAACACGAGAAAGCGAGAAAACTGACCAGGGTCAGAGGAACAACGAGACCAAACGAGACCACGACCCAGGGGCCGAGAAAACAAGAGAACGAGACCACGAGCCAGGGCCCGAGAAAATGGCACAAAAACCCAGAAGCCGAGAAAACGAGAAAACGCGACAACGAACCAGGGTCCGAGAAAACGAGACCGCGACCCAGGGGCCGAGAACAAGAGAAAACGATAGAACTAACCAAAGTCCGAGCAAACGAGACCACGACCCAAAGGCACAGAAAACGCGAAAACGAACCAGGGTCCGAGAAAACGAGACCCCGACCCAGAGGCCGAGAAAACGAGAAAACGAGAAAAGGAACGAACCAGGGGCCGAGAAAACGAGAAAACGATAAAAGGAATCACGGCCCGAGAAAACAAGACTACAAACCAGGGGCCGAGAAAACAAGAAAACGAGAAAACGGACCAGGGGCCGACGTTATTCTCCAATGCGTTCTCTAGCGCTGCGGTGCGCACCTGTCTGCAGGGATTCTGCAATTTTGCCATAACCCCGGAAGGGAGGGGGAAGCCCCCCCCTTTGCAAAGGAGGTTGGAGGCGGGTAGCTTGAAGCCGCCCCCCCCTGGTCCAGACCAAAAAAGGAAGGAGGGGGGTAGCTTCCGAAGCCCCCCCCCCTCTTTGAAAGGGAAGCCCGGGCTCACCTTCTGCTCCGGAAAAGGGAGGGAGGGGGGGATAGCTTCGAAGGCCCCCCCCCCTTCAGCCAGGGCCCCCCTAGCTGAGAAACCCTTACAGAAGGGAGGGGGGGGGGGTAGCTTCGGAAGCTCCCCCCCTTTGGGAAGGGAGAGGGGGGGGGGCTTGAAGCTGGGGCCCCCCTTTCCTTATTCCCGGCGATGCGGGCGCGCTGTTTCGTTCCTTTTCAAAATGCAGCTCTCGCCTTCGCGCCGCGCACATTCGCCTTAAATGTTTGCAAGTGCTTCACGGATGGATGGCAAGTCGTTTTCAAAATGTTGCTGTCGCCTTAGCGCTGCGCACACTCGTTTTCAAAGCTTGCGAGTTTCACCAATGGAGGGCGGACCGACTTCAAAATGTGGCTCTCGCCTCAGCGCCGCGCGCATTCGTCTGAAAAGCTCGCGAAAGCGTCATGGATAGAGGGCGGTTGCTTTTCTAAAGTGGTTCTCGCCTTAGCGCCGCGCAATTTCGCCTTGCAAGCTTGCAAGGGCCTCACGGATGGAGGGCGGGTGAGTTGCAAAATGTGGCTCTCGCCTTAGCGCCGCGCCCATTCGTCTTCAAAGTTCGCAAGAGATTCACGAATGGAGGGCGACTATTATTTAACCGTTGGGGGAAATGGACACGATAACCTCCATATCCTCCTCCTTATCAGGCGTAAGGGGACATTGACACGCTATCCTGAAGATCCTCCTCCTCCTCCTCCGCTTCCTCGGCTTTCGCATCCTCCTGGTCCTCCTCCTTCTTCTCCTCCTCCTCCTCCTCTTTCGCTTCCTCCTCCACCTCCTCCTCCTCCTCCTCCTTCTCCTCCTCCGTCTCCTTCTTCTCCCCAGGATCGCGTGGCAGGCGTGGCATGTCCTCGACACCCCAAAGGGGGGCGCGGGGGGTGGTCACCCTATCTGTGCCAGGGTCGCCTGGCGCGGCAGGCGTAGCACAGTACTCGACACCACAGGAGGGGGGCAGCGGTGGCTACCCTCTCCGCGCGTGGCACTTTCGTCGACGCCCTACGAGGGAGGCGGGCAGGTGGTGGTTACACTGTCCGCGCCAGAGTCGCAAGGCGCGGCAGGCGTGCCATTTCCTCGACACCAGAGGTCCGAGAGGCACGATATCATCACAGTAAAAAAGTGTGTGGGTCCCCTGGGTGGCGTGATCGGCCTCTTGGGGCCCGGGAACCTGTGGGTTCGCCTAAAGGGTGTCACGACTGTGCAGGATCGAAGTACGGTAGATACCATCCTGGAGCATCCTGCGAGCCCACGAGGGTGCGGGGAGCGCTCAGGGCCCACAGAATCCCCCTGGGAGCCCTGGCCATCCATGGAGACCCCCCATGGTCCCAGAGAATCCCCCTGGGAGCCCTGGCCATCCATGGAGACCCATGGTCCCTGAGAGGGCCCCCTCGGACCCGGTCGTCCAGAGAGTAAGATAGATATGACTGTAACATATATATAAATATATGCATATATATATAACATACACACACGTGCAGATATGCATGTGTGTACGTGTGCACGTATGTATGCAGGTACGCAAGTATGTAGTATGTATGCCCAATGTATGCACGCCTGTCTGTATGTACGTGTGTATGTGCGTATGTATGTATGTATGCATGTGCGATTGCATATCTGAATGTAGATGTGTATGTGCGTTTGTGCGTAATCGTGTATAAGCAGATGCGT